CAGAGTTCCGATTTCCACAGCTTGGTCGGCGACGAGGGAGGAGATTCAGAACATGGCGCGGCTAGAAAAGCATCCTTGGAGGTTGGAGGAGTGACGACGAGTCGAGGGCAAGCTCCAAAGCCTGTTGAAGACGATCGCCTTCCTCCGTCGACGAGATTGCCGCAACTCTGCCACGTTTCCTCGACAGGACAGAGCAAGAGAGAGAATGAATTGGGAGGAGCTCAGGGGAGCAATCCGACCCAACCCAATGCAGCCGATCCACTCCCTAAGGCACTGGGAAGCTCTAAAATTGACCAATTTGATTTGATTCCAACTATTTTGCAGAGTCAAAGTCGAGCTCAAACACCCCTGCAGGAGCTCGAATACGAGAAAGCAATGGCGGAATGGGTTGTGAAGTCTGGAGCTTCTTCGACACCAACTACCGCTGCAGAATCGTTCAAAGAGATGCCACGAACGCGTAGGACAAGTCTAATGGGAACAAAAGGAGGCAAATCCGAAACGCCCAATTCGGATAAATTGAGTTCAAGGATGCAGAACGCCGAGCACTTCAATTCCGAATTGGTTGGGGCCGTCGAGGAGGATTCGAGCCAAATTGAAACGATGGTCGAGTTCCTGGAGGTCCAAGGAACGTGTCTGAGTGCTCAATTCGACACGAAGCTGCAGGAATTAAAAACGCCCAAATCGGAGTTGCAAAGTCTAGGTAGGGAGAATTTGAAAATTGACGACGGCGGGAAAAATGAACAAGATGATTCGTCGCATCCTAGTGGTATTCGAGGCTTGGAGTTGCTTGGGAATTGCAATTCAATAATGGAGCAAGCAGATTCGTGCAGTAGATTGAAGACTGGAGGCTCGAATCCATGCCATTCATCTTTTGCCGACTTTCCCGAGTTCGTCATAAGGCTGCGTAGTATGGTGAAGGTTCTGGCTGGGTTTCCGAGGCTGCTCATCGTCGATATGGATCTGGGAAGTGAAGTGGAGGATCATTATGCTTTAGTTCTCACAAAATCATCCATAACTAACAACAAGGCAGAAGGCAGTGCGGATTTGAAGAACAATGAAGAACGTTTGGGATGCAATTTTGAAGACCCATTTTGGTCACCCTCTGATCGTGTTTTGGCTTGCAAAATCATACAAGCTTTGAGGGCAAAGCTTTTTGAAGAGGGAGAGCCTGATATGATCCCAAATGGTCCATTATACAAGTTTAATTTACTTGACGAAGAAGCTATCGAAGTTGGGAAGAAGAAGGGCAGAATTTGGCTAAGTCAAAATCCGTGTTCAGGGTACATACTTTGGAGGCATGGTTCTCTCAATGTGTTTGGTGGAAATTCAAGTTTAAGGGTTTGTTTTGCAGATCAAGTTACCATCTTTCCAATGGTATGCTTTATGGATCCATATGATGTCATTAAGGTTGTTTTCCAAGGCCTCAAAGTTGCTACCTCAAAACTGGAAAACTGCCAGAAAATGGCTAAGGTAGAAAACTGTTTTGTGAAGCCTACTTTGGAGCTCAATTCAAGGAGCATGGATGAGAATCAAGTCAAAAGGCTTCCACAACATGAAACTAGGTATGTTTGTGAACAAAGGGAAGGAATTGGATGAAGAATTGGAGTTCGGGAAGGCCTTCAACAAAAGGCGCAAAGTTAGTACAAAAGCTGCATTTTGACTGTTTTCCGGGCAGCTTACTTGTGCTTCAAGAAAGGAAGTTTAAATCCGAATTTTGTGTCCTTTTTAGAGTAGAATTTTACCTTATTTGTTTCCTTGTTCATCTAGGTTTGTATTAGGTTTTCTTGGCTATAAATAGCCTTCTATTTTCGTTGTAAACTCAGACTTTGTTGAATAGAAATCGAAACCGTTTGGTTTGTGCAAGTTGCGACTTGTTTAGGGTTTGGTGGATTCCAAACTTGCTGAGCTTGTGTATCGATTGAATAGTCACTTCAGTCGTGGTCGAGCAACTACCCTTTTATACCAATCGAGCTATCCCCAGGTGTGGATTTGTCCTTTTGGTTCCGTTTTATCCAAGTTCGTATTAAGAGCGCTTCGTTCTTGATTCGAGTTCAATCGATTCTTCGATTGATTCGTTGCTGCGTTACTTTGATAAAAATACACCCTCCAGGGTGGTATTACATTAATTTAACGATTCAGTGACTTCTCTCTACAGAGTAAACGAATGACCATATTTAATTATTAGAAACAAGAAATTGTTCAACCAATGATGGGCGGACAAGTGGATGGTAGCAACTATTGGCTGCAACCCATAGTGCTGCTAAATTTTTCCATAATTAAATGTGGTCATCCTTCACACTGTAGAGAGGAGTCACAGAACCGTTATATTGGTAGCGGAGTTTTGTGGTACAAACTGAATAATGCATACTATTCTTTTTAACTTATGCATTTAAAATTATGGTATAAATTCAATTTGTACTTAAACCATTAATACTTTAGAGTATAATAGAAGGACTCATATTTAAACGGATTTGTTCTTGTATTTAACATTATGGTATAAATTACACTTTCATTCTTTTTCCATACAAAATTTGTGAATAGATAATAATTTAACATTCTGAAAATTTAAGTCTAATACGGAAAAATTGGTTCCTAAAGAATCTTATCAAATAAAAACATTCTGATACATTATGTATTTAAACATAAAGAAAATGGATCCAATTTATATAAATGTCAATAGTGCTTATTTATATATCGAACCCAATTCAAGAAAATGTCTCTTTCATATGAAACACAAGAACCAACTATAAAGAGCTGTTAAAAAATCTGTGAAAATTGATGGTTAGTCGGTAGTCATGACAATATACATTAAATAGAACCACTTACACAGTGTTTACAAATAGCATTACACATTCACCGAATCCAATTTATATAAATGTCGATAGTGCTTATTTATATGTCGGACCCAGGTCAAACAAATGTCATTTTCATATTAAATACAAGAACCAACAATTGATAGTTGTTATAAAATTTCCTTGAAAATTATTGTTAATCGGTAACCACAACAGTATACATTAAATAGGACAACATGCACAGTGTAGGCAAATAGCATTATATATTTAACAGATCAATTGATATAAATGTCAATAGTGCTTATTTATATGTCGGACCCAGGTCAAACAAATGTCATTTTCATATTAAATAAAAGAACCAACAATTGATAGTTGTTATAAAAATTCCTTGAAAATTATTGTTAGTCGGTAACCACAACAGTATACATTAAATAGGACAACATGCACAGTGTAGGCAAATAGCATTATATATTTAACAGATCAATTGATATAAATGTCAATAGTGCTTATTTATATGTCGGACCCAATTCAAGCAAAGGTCCTATTCATATGAAACAGAAGAACCAACAATGTAGAGCTATTAAAAAAATCTTTGAAAATTGATTGTTAGTCGGTAGCCATGACAATATACATTAAATAGGACCACTTACATCGTGTAGGCATGTTGCATTGAAATCAATGGATCTAATTTATATAAATGTTAATAGTATTTATTTATACATTGGACACACCACTGGAATCAATTAATGAAATCAATATGCTTTTTTCACTCACCACTAGTCCTTGCGTGCATTCTTTGTAGCCGCCAGGACAATTTAATCGACAAGCATGCCATAAATATCCACTATCATTTCAGCATTTGTTCTCTAAATGATGGATTAGTTATGCCAATTAGGGATGCATTTACATTTTTGTGTGTTCCAAAAGTTTCCATTTGGAATACTCATACTATGTAAGTGTTTTATTAAAAGAGAACCAATCAACTTTCTTTGGGTCTTGGTAAGTGTCTCAACTCTTGGGTCAATGATATTAAATTGGTCAAGTTAATTAATATATACTAGATTGGAACTCGACATATTGGCCGGATACATTTTATCCTGATATAAACTTATTGTCCCCTCGCTTTTAAAAAAAAATTCCTCTTCCTCCTAAATTTCATTGGAACCTAAATTTAATGGTAATTTTTTTACAAATATGAAATATATTTTTATACAACTAGATATTACCTCTTTCAAATAATGAATATTGTCTAAGATCTGCTCTTCCCGCTAATTTTTTGTACTTCTGTCTTCACAATTAATTGTCTCTACTTTCTTCTCAACAACGTCATTATCTTCATCAACGAATACACTAACTCCACTATTAGAAGACTCTTTTTATTCTCTTATGTTTCACTGAAAGCAATAACTTAATGATAAAATATTTACAAATGTGAAACACCTTTTTACTCAAGTTATAAAAAACATCTTAAAAAAAATCGTATTGCTTTTGTTCTCACTACAAATTACAATATTACATGCACAAATAAACTTTCCTCTAATTAATCACTTAAACAATTAAAGTGAATTTGAATGACTTGGAAATAAATGACGAATTGCCTGAATGCTCTGTACGAACCCTAGCGTCGCGGCTGCCCCGGTCAACAACTCTGCCTCGCCGGGTCGGCCGCCGGACAACTTGATGCCGTCTATGTCTTTCTGTTTTCCGCCGAGGAACACAGACGTGTCTGGGGCTGTGCTGACAACGATCCCGCCGCGATCAGACGTCCCTGTTGCATCTGATACGGAGATGCGGGTGGAGATGACTTTGGAGAACTCGACTTCGACTCCGTCAGAAGGGCAGGTAGCGATGGAGAGTGAGAGCCCGGGGATCACGTCCTTGACGGAACCTGGGAAAAATAAAGACGAAGGGGGTGGAGGTTTCATCCCCGGTGAGAATCGAGCGCTTTCTCCCCCATCCTACGCCAACGCGGTGACTGGTTCTAGATCTCAATTGAAGTCCCCTGTTTCCAGGTGGATCCCGGTGGGTGAACATGATCTTGTCCCGGGATCCTTCGATGGTGAACCAGAATTAAAGATATCTGAAGATTTCAAGGCGAAGCTTAGTGCCCCGTGGCAGAGGACTCTGGTGGTGCGATTGCTAGGACGCTCCATCGGATATACAACGCTATGCAATCGTTTGAAGGCGCTATGGAGACCCACCAGTCATATGGAGGTTTTTGCTTTGGACCAGGAGTTTTTCCTGGTTAAAGTGGGAAGCGATCAAGACTTCTACAAGGCCCTGTCGGACGGACCCTGGGTAATCTTCGACCACTACCTAGTTGTTCAGCAATGGACGCCGGCCTTTAGAGTAACGGACAAGCTACCGAACACGATGGTCGTTTGGGTGCAATTCCCTGGTTTTCCAGTTCATTTCTACCACAAAGATCTGCTGTTCTCACTAGGGAATCTCATCGGGAGGGCAATTAAGTTGGATTTTCACACTCTGCATCAAGATCGGACAAGATTTGCAAGAATAGCTGTGGAAGCTGACCTGTCGAGACCTTTGGTTCCAAGAATTCGGTTGGACGGGAAATGGCAAAAAGTGGAATTTGAGAATCTTCCGTGCGTTTGCTTCGAATGTGGAAGGATGGGACATACGAAAGTTACCTGTCCGACCCTGTGCCAGGCTCAAGCTATCCCCGGCGTGGCGGAAACCTCCTTGACGACGACAAGCATCGTCGGAGAGAAGTCACCGGAGACTGACTCCGGATTTGGTCCCTGGATGCTCGTTACGAGGAAATCACGCCGCAATCAACGTGAATTACCAAACCAGGGACGGGCGGTTCAGACAGGAGGATCCAGCAACGACACAACTAGTGGGCAGATCGGGAAAGAGGCTGTGGCTAGCATGGAAAGGCCAGAGAAGTTGCCAAATCAAGCGAGTGCGAGGAGTCATCAACGGCACCAAGCAACACGACCACAAAATCAAGGAAAACAGGGGGGAGCCAGAACAAGAATGGGAAAGGGGAGAAAAAAGGTAAGGAGATAGCCGTTAGTGACTCCAACCAGGTGGCTAAGGCTGGAATCCTTGGGCCGCCACCAAACTCAGAAAAGCAGGTCGTTTCCAGGCCCAAAAATGTTTCTATCTCGACTGAGGTCTCATCATCGGGAACCAAGAAAGACGGGCCTGACAACTTCAACCCCCCAGGCCCAATGACTCAAACAATCAAAGGTGATAATGGAACTACTATGGTTGTCGTGGAAGCCCAACCGTATACGGTGGCGCCGTCGAGGAAGATTGATCCAGCCGCTCCAACCGTAGTCTCACGAACTAACCACAAGAAGGAGAAGAAGAGACTCAGGGGCTAAAGAAATCGACTCCGAGGAAGGGGACTCCAATCCGCAATAACTCGATGAAACCCCTCCAAGTCTGGTCGCCGGTCAAAGAGAGAAAAAACAAGGGCAGGAGCAAGGATCGATGAGTCGCCTTGACACTCCAGCAAATCAAAGAGTGGACGGAGACGATCCCGGACAAGATCCGAGCGGAAAGACAGCCTGAACAGGCACTTCCTATGGATGCGACTAATAACGGGATAACTGATGGAGGCGAGCAGCAGCTCACACCAATCTAATGCCGCCAAGATCACCTGCTGAGATTTTCTTTCTTCCTCTTTTCCTTTCTTTTTTTTATATTCTTATTATGTCTTTGTCCAATATGCAAAAGTTTAAAAATTTTTCTTGGAATGTGGGAGGAGCTGGGGGTCGAGCCTTTTCCCGTTCCCTTAAGCTTGTTCTCCAGCTCCATAAGCCTGACATTGTGATCTTGCTTGAGCCTCAGGTCAGCGGGGGTACAACCAATGCAATTTGTGAAAAATTGGGCTTCTCGGATGTTGCTAGGGTTGAAGCCAACGGCAGAAGTGGTGGTATTTGGGTTTTTTGGAATCCACACTTTATGTCGATGCAAATCATGGATGCCGGGTTCCAGCACATAACTCTGAACATTGCTAAGCCGGGTATGCCAGACTGGAAGCTTACTGCATTCTATGCATCACCCCGCCACCAGTACCAGCGTCTCCTTTGGGGACATCTCATTGAGCAGAGCAAGAACATCAATTGCCCGTGGATTCTTACTGGCGACTTCAATGCCATTCTCAGCCCTGACGAGAAGTCTGGTCCGGTCTCGGCGGAGATCTTCAGGAGATGCAGGCGGTTTGGGGATTGGATCAACGAGTCGGAGCTCATTGATCTTGGTTACTCTGGACCAAGATTCACCTGGACCCGAGGAACTGAAGCAGCCTCATTCAAGGCCAGCAGGTTGGACAGGAGTCTTTGTAACCTGCAGTGGAATGAAACTTTTCCAGCCACCTCGGTGACTCATCTGGCCCGCCTAAGTTCTGATCACCACCCGATCCTAACCTCCATCTCAGATCAGGGAGTTTCGAACCCTTCTACTAAACGTTTTAAATTCGAAGCTGCTTGGCTTACTCACACTGATTTTATGTCATTTCTTGACAACTCCTGGACACATCAAACTGATTTCCCACTTGCTTTGCAGGATCTTACGGAGAAGCTCAAAGCCTGGAACTCGTCAGTTTTTGGTAATATTTTCCAGCGAAAGAGAAGACTTGTTGCCCGAATTGCTGGGATAGAAAAGAGACTGGCGGATTCTTTTGATCCAGGGCTGGCCAAACTACATTCCAAGTTAGAGGCAGAGTTGGATCGAACTATGGAACAGGAAGAACTTTTGTGGTTCCAGAGGGCTCGGGAGAAATGGGTCAGATTTGGAGAGAGGAATACAGCCTACTTTCATCAACTCACCAATATCCGTCGACGCACAAACAGAATCGAGGCTCTGAAAAATGCGAATGGAGAATGGATAACGGATAAGCAGGAATTGGCTGAACTCATCTTTGAGTTCTACGCCGATCTCTACTCGCAGGATGATTCCCCATATGCTGATCTCCTTCCAAAGGGTGCCTTTCCCCAGCTGAGCCAGGAGGAATGGTACATGCTTCTCCGCCCTTTCACGATTATGGACGTCCACAAGGCGGTCTTTGACATGAAACCTCTTCAAGCGCCGGGGCCCGACGGTTTCCAGGCGATCTTTTATCAACAGGCCTGGAGAGTTGTGGGGAAGGCTCTCACAGATATGGCGCTAGGTTTCTTTGAGCATGGAACTCTGCCTACTGCAGTCTCTGAGTCGACAGTGGTCCTTATCCCTAAGGTAGAGAATCCGGAGTCAGTTACTCAACTTCGGCCGATCTCCTTGAATAACGTCAGTCTGAAGACCATTACGAAGGCCATGACAAGCAGACTCAAGGCGGTGATGAGGACCCTGGTGTCGCCTCGCCAATCCAGCTTCATCCCAAAACGGCAGACGTCAGACAACATTGTGCTGGTTCAGGAAGTGGTCCACTCTCTCAGGAAGAGGAAGGGCCTTAAGGGGGGTATCGTGGTTAAAATAGACCTGGAGAAGGCTTATGATCGCCTGCGTTGGGACTTCCTGAGGGACACCCTCGTTGAAGTAGGCCTGCCGAACTCTTGGATTAGGTGCATTATGTTCTGTGTTGAGCAGAACCGGATGCGCATTCTCTGGGACGGGAAGCTCCTGCAGCCTATTACGCCCACTCGGGGAGTTCGACAGGGAGACCCTCTTTCTCCTTATCTTTTTGTGCTTTGTATGGAACGTCTTTCCCACAGAATTGATAAAGCCGTTCAGGATAAGTTATGGAACCCCATCCGCTTATCCAAGGACGGCCCGGCCCTTACTCACCTTTTCTTTGCAGATGACTTAGTTCTTTTTGCAGAAGCTAAGATTTCTCAAATCAAGATCATCAAACAGTGCCTGGATGAGTTCTGCGACAGCTCTGGCCAACGAGTTAACTTTGCGAAGTCCATCATCTTTGTTTCGCCGAATATCCGTCAGGCTAGAGCTCAACGACTAAGTGACAAAGCTGGCATCCCTCTCGCGAGAAGCCTTGGGAAATACCTAGGCGCCCAGACGATCCATGGCAGAGTTACCAAGACTAGGTATCAGGGACTTCTGCTACAGATCAAGAAAAAACTCGCCCCGTGGAGAGCCAGATGGCTTTCGCTCGCTGCTAGATTGACGACCACCAAATCAGTATCCCTTTCTATACCCACTTACCCTATGCAAACTGAACTGTTACCTGTGAATGTATGTAATGCTATTGACAGGATAAACAGAGATTTTATATGGGGGAAAGAGGATGATAAAGGAAAGATGCATCTGGTGGCCTGGGAGAGGCTCACAGAACCCAAAGCTCAAGGAGGAGGTGGACTCCGTTCCATCCGGCATATGAATCTTGCCATGCTTGCCAAAGGAGGATGGAGGATGATGCAGGAGAAAGATACTCTTTGGACACAAGTCATGAGGTCTAAATATGGGAAGCAACGTGAAGGGCTCGAGCTGTTACGTCCTGTAAAGGGAAGTTCCTTTACCTGGAGGAGCTTTACTAAAGCCTCCAACCTTCTAATGAAGGGTTGTGCGTGGAATGTTCATAACGGAAAGACGACTAAGTTTTGGCGTGATGTTTGGTTGATGCAGGTTCCTCTAGCCGAGATAGCTGTTCAACCGATACCGAAAGGAATGTTGGATGACACCGTGGCAACCTACTTGGAGACGGAGGGGCAGTGGGACATCAACCGCCTGGCTGTTTGGCTGCCACCGGAAGCTATACAGAAACTTTTAGCAGTGTTTGTTGACAATCTATCGCAAGAAGACGACACAATCTTCTGGACAGCCTCCTCAACTGGGCATTTCACCACCAAGACAGCCTACCGGTTGGCGCTTCCCCCGCGCAACGATCCTAACGAGAAGGTGTGGAAGATAATCTGGAAGCTACCGGTCGCAGAAAGAATCCGTTCGTCTGGTTGACTGCCTTGAGTCGGATTGCTACCAATGAACTCCGACATGCTAGGCGATGCGCGGAGTCCCCGGCTTGCCAACGATGTGGAAACTGCCCTGAGACCATCAGCCATCTTCTACGGGACTGCTACCCTGCTCGATTCTTTTGGTTGAAGTGGATCCCGCCTGCCGATCAGCAGAACTTCTTCTCGAGTAGCCAAGAAGAGTGGATGCGAAGTAATATTCTGAAGGATGACAACATGGACTCAGGTATGGCTTGGAACGAATTCTTTAGTGTGGCCATCTGGTTACTTTGGAAAAACAGATGCACGGCGTGTTTCCAAGGGGCTCAGGCAGCTCTTACTCCACCGTCCCTTGCTCACTCCATCTATCAGAAGGCCTTGCTATGGAATAAAGCTTGGAATGCTCCGACTACAAGCTTTAATGGACAGAATGCTAGACCCGAGAGGGCTGCGGTGCAGGTTCAGTGGCAGCCACCGCGTCGGGGGTGGCTAAAACTCAATATCGATGGTGCCTCAACAGGGAATCCAGGTATGGCTGGAGCAGGGGGGCCTTCTCCGTGACGAGCAAGGCGGGTGGGTTAAAGGTTTTGTTTCTAAGATTGGAGAGGCCTCGGCGACTCTTGCTGAGCTCTGGGCGTTTCAGCATGGGCTCGATCTTGCTTGGAAAGTTGGGTGTGGATCAGTGATCATTGAATCCGACTCTCAACTAGCTATCCAGATGATCAACAATCGTCTTGACCCCTTACATCCGTATGCCTCGCTCTTGAGCTCGATTCGTAGAAAAATCTCGCAGGATTGGTTGGTTAGCATTGTTCACACATACAGGGAAGGGAATAGAGCCGCAGACTGGCTCTCGAAGCACAGTCTCGTCTATCCCCCCGGTATGCATGAGCTTGCGAACCCGCCGCCTGGGCTTGCTACCTTTCTCAGAGATGATATGCTGGGAGTCTCTTTCGAGCGTCGAGTTGTGACGCGTTCCCCCTCTCCTCTGTAATTTCTTCCTCTTTTGGCTTCGGCCTCCCTGCAATGCAAAAAAAAAAAAAAAAGAATGACTTGGAAATAAATGCTTGCTTTTGCAGAGTGAACAAAACAGAATGTTAATATTTTTGGCGGGCCATGTTTGTGATGATTAATAGAGTGCAATTACACCGAAGAGTC